AACTAAATTCACGATCAACAATGACAGATAGAAACACATGTATGTGATTGTCGTCAGTGAGAGCTTTATATGTATCGTGCATGTGTGATTCAACTTAGCCTTTTATATATATATATAGAAAAAACTTGCTTAATTAGACCTGCTCTCTGATGTAGCTGAACTTTTTCCAGCCCAGCGAAGCACCCCAACTTCTCTTTCAGGTAATTGTCAGCAACACAGAAGTAAATATCAACACAAAGCAGATTATTATTGTAGATCATGCAGGGAGAATAAAGGGTAAAATATTTAACTGCAGCAGTCTTTGACTATATTTTTTTTCACAGTGAGAAAACCTGAAGTCATTTTTAAGGTCCACCACTTCTTACCTCTTTTCAGTTGGGTCAAGTTTCTAAGCTTTCTAAATCTTCGTTTTCCAGCTAATGAAAAGAAAATAGGATTCCACCGAGTCTCCTATCTACTTATTCCAGGACTTCTGTGAGGATCAAATGACATGAGACACAGGAAAACATTTCATAGACATTTGGTTCCAGTGTAAAATGTTTCCACCTGGCTATAAAGCAAGTCATGTTCCAGGGCTGAAGAAACTCCAAGGAGGCTAGTCACTAGAGAGAGGAAGCAGGGTGTTGCTATGTGACATCATTACCCTGGTGGACACTTAGCATATTAGCCTTATATATATATATATAGATTCTTGAAAATTTTCTGTTGATCTAAAGTTTAAAAAAAACAAAAACGTTTAATTTAAAAATTCCCATCAGGAGTTTTTGTAGACATAGACAAAATTGATGTAGAAAAAAGAAAAGAACTACAACTAAAATTTTTGAAAAATAATAAATTGAAAAATCATACTATCTGATCTTAAGACAGTATAACACTACAGTAATCAAGATAGTTATTGTTGGTGAAGGGATAGACAGAATGTAGAGTGCAGAAATAGATCCACATGAACAGAGCCAATTGATTATTTTAAGCTCAAGATTATTTGTTTTATTGTGTCAAGCATACCTCTTAATTTTATTTTTTAATATATTTTTATTGATTTAAGAGAGAGGAAGGGAGAGATAGAAACATCATTGATGAGAGAGAGAATCATTGGTCAGCTACCTCCTGTATACTCCTTAATGGGGATTGAGTCCACAACCCAGGCATGTGCCCTGACTGGGAATTAAACTGTGACATCTTGGTTCATAGGTCAACACTCAACCTCTGAGCTATGCCAACCTGGCTTTATTATTTTATTTTACTGTATTTTTAAAATTTTAAATAATTAAACATTTTTTCAATTATAGTTGACATACAATATTATATTAGTTTCTGGTGTACACCCCAATGATTAGATATTTATACAACTTACAAAGTGATCATCCCCAAAAATATAGTACCCATCTGACACCATACAGAGTTATTAGAATACTAGAGGCCCAGTGCACGAAATTTGTGCACTGGGAGGGCAGGTTCCCCTCAGCCCAGCCTGTGCCCTCTCACAGTCTGGAACCCCTCAGGAGATGTCTGCTTGCTAGCTGATGCCTGATCCTCCCAAACTGGCTCTCAAACATCCCCTGAGGGGTCCCAGATTGTGATAGGGTGCAAGCCAGGCCAAGAGACCCCACCAGTACACAATCGAGGCAGGGGAAAGATGCGGAGGTTGGCCAGCTGGGGAGGGACTGCAGGAGGGCTCCAGGGCATGTCTGGCCTGTCTCACCTAGTCCCTATCAGCTGGACCCCAGCAGCAAGGTAACCTACAGGTCAGAGTGTCTGCCCCTTGGTGGTCAGTGCATGTCCTAGCCAGCAGTTGAGTGGCCTTAACATATCATTATCATATTACGCTTTGATTGGTTGAATGGCTGACTGGTTGACCAGACATTTAGCATATTAGGCTTTTATTATATAGGATTGCTGACTATATTTCCTATGCTATACTTTATATCCCATGACTATTCTGTAACTACCAATTTGTACTTAATCCCTTCACCCTTTTCACTCATCCCCCAATACTCTCCCATCTGACAACTGTCAAAACGTTCTCTGTATAGCCCTGGTCTGTGTAGCTTAGCTGGATAAAAATTGTCCCATGCACGGAACAGTTAAGGTTTAATTCCCAGTCAGGTCACATGCCCAGGTTTTAGGCTCAATCCCTAACAGAGGGCATGCAGGAGGCAGCCGATTGATGTTACTCTCTGACCCTCCCCCCCTCTCCCCTTCTCATTCTAAAAGTCAATAAAAATCTTTTTTTAATGTTCTTTGTGCCCTGGCCAGTTTTCTCAGTGGTTAGAGTGTCAGCCTGTGGACCAAAAGGTCATGGGTTCAATTCCAGGCCAAGGGCACATACCTAGGTTGCAGGTTCATCCCCAGCCCTTTTTGTGGCATGAGTGGGAGGCAACCAATCAATATGTGTCTCTCATGTTAATGTTTCTCTTTCTTTCTCTCCCCCTTCTCTCCTTTCCTTCCCTTTTCTCTAAAAAAAATAAAAAATTAAAAAAAAAAAACAATGGGAAAAAATATCCTCTGGCGAGGATTTTTTTAAAAAATGTTCTCTGTATTTATAAATCTGTTTCTGTTCTGCCTTTTCATTCATTTTGTTTTTAAAATTAAAGTGTTGATAGATATGCATTTATTGCCATTTTATTGTTCATATTTTTTATCTTCTTTTCCTTTTTTTTTTTTTTTTTCTTAAAGAAGACTTTTTAACTTTGCATGTAATACTGGTTTGGTGGTGATAAATTCCTTTAGCTTTTTCTTGTCTGGAAAGTTCTTTATCTAATCTTCAATTCTAAATGACAGCTTTGCTGGGTAGCATAACCTTGTTTATAGTTCCTTGCTTTTCATCACTTTATTTCTTGAAAATCCCTTTTGGCCTGAAAAGTTTCTGCTGAGAAATCAGCTGACAGTCTTATGGGAGCTTCCTTGCAGGTAACTAACTGCTTTTTCTCTTACCGCTTTTAAGTTTCTCTCTTAGTCATTAAAATTTGGCATTCTAATCCTAATGTGTCTTGGTGTGAGCCTCTTTGAGTTCATCTTAATTGGGACATTATGCACTTCCATGTTTATTTCCTTCACCAGTTTAGGGAAAATTTCTGTTATTTTTTCAAATAGGCTTTCAATTTCTTGTTCTCTCTCTTCTTATTCCAGCACTCCATGATGCAAATGTTGGTACACTTGAAGATGTTCCAAAGGCTCCTTATATCATCTTCATTTTTTGAAAATTTTTATGTTCTGATTGGGTGTTTTTTGCTTCCTTATATTCCAAATCACTGATTTGATTCTTAGCTTAATCTACTCTACTGTTGATTCCCTGCAAACCATTCATCATTTCATGTAGTGTATCCTTTATTTCTGACTTGCTCTTTTTATGTTTCCTATTTTCATTTTTATGTTTCCTATCTCTTTGTTGAAGTCCTCACGCATTCATCTATTCTTCCGCTAAATTCATTGAGCATCTTTATAACCAGTGTTTTAAACTCTGTATCTAGTATATTGGTTGTCTCCATTTTGTTTGTTTGTTTTTTTCTTAAGGTTGTGTTTCTTTGCATCCTCATTTTGGCAGCTTCTGTGTTTGTTTCTGTATATTGGGTAGAACTGCTACGTCTTCCAAGATTGGTAGAGTAGTCTTGTGCAGTAGGTGTACTGTAGGTTCCAGTGGCACAGCCTCTCTGATCACCCAAGCTGGGCACTCTTGTTTCTCCCCTCACCCCATGTGGGCTGTGTACACCCTCCTATTGCAGTGAGCATTGATTTCTGTTGGCATATTAGTTGCAGTTATTATCCACAGGCTGATCCACTGCAAGGACTGACTGTATCACCATGGAAAACCAGCTATGCAGGGTCCCACCCTATGGAGTGAGACTTACTTCAGCAGGGCCTGGTTCCCGCTGAGTCCACCCCTTGAATATGTCACTTGTGAAGATGGTTGGGTGGTGCGTGGACATTGTCTGAAGCTGCCCACCAAGTGTGCTGACTCTGGAGCCTTCCAGGAAGTGTAGGACAATGTCAGTGCTGTTTATGTTCTGCCATGGCCACCGGGCTTGAGCTACAAAGCAGCCTGCAACTGCCTGCCACTTGTGCTGGGCTTGAAGATGAAGATGCCAAGTTACAAAACACAGCAAGCTGCTGCTTGTGCCAGGTATGGGGGCAGTTAGCCAAAGGTACAGGGTAAGCTGAGGCCAGATGCTGCTTGTTTGAGAGCTTTTAGGAAAGTCTGAAGTGTGAACCAAGACAGGTAATTCACATGGTAAAGGCATTGGATAGTGCTTTGGTGGGCTCACAAGTTGGGTGGGCTGTGGTCTCAGAGAATCACCAGGGCTGGGCAAACAGTGATACGTTGATTGAGTCTAGATATAGTGCCCACCTGCTGGCTCTGTGGGGGAGAGGGGTCATCTCATCAAAGGAACAATGACCTCTGCCTGCACTTCTGTCTGGAAGAAAGCTGTCCCCTGAGCTCTCACCCTGATGCCAGACAGTTCAGTTTCTCCCATATGTCCCTGGTGCCTTTTGAACTGCTGCCCCAGTGCTGGAGCTCAGATTGAGTGAGTCTAAGTCTGTGATGGGTCCTTTAAGAGAAATTGCCTGGTATTTCAGCAGCCCTTCATCTCACTCAGCCTCAATTCCCACTGGTTTTTAAAGCCAGAAGTTATGGGGACTTCTCTTCCCAGCACTGGAACCCTAGGCTTGGGGGCCTGATGTGGGACTGGGATTCATCACTTCTCAGGGGGAACCTCTGCAGTTGAGATATCACTCCTGATTTTTACCCACCACATGCGGGTGTGAGGCCATATCTCCGCTCCTCCTACCAGTCTCAATGTGGCTTCTTTATATTCCTAGTTGTAGGACTTCTATGCAACTATATTTCAGACAGTTTTGTTGTAGGCAGCAGGAATAGCAATAGGCTTGTGTATTTAGAACAGACCTGGGTTCAGCAACCTCAGAGCTTGCATTCTGGCTGGGAAAGAATTCAGAGCCAAGACTCAAACTATAAATGAAAATTTATTTATAAAAATCACAGAACTGGAACAAGTAATTTGTAGAATAGGTAGGCTTAGGAAAAAATTTATAAATTGGAGCTTGGGGATGAGGAAGGTAATGGTAATGTGCCTGTGGTTGGGGAGCAGGATAGGGAAAGGGGCAGGCATGTTCCCAAAAAGGAGAGAGCACTGGGTACTCTGTCCTAAGAGTTTTAAGAGTGGAGATTCTAGGGGAGGTCTCAGACTGTTCAGCAGTTTTCCAGGTGTGTCCTTTCAGGGTAGTGGTCTCCACTGATTGATTGGCTGGCACCAGAGGCGGGAGGTGGGGTCATTATCCAATGGAGCTGGTCCTGAGGTCAGCTGTGGCTGCTTTTGTTGCTTATCTGGTCCTGGAGCTGAAATAAAACTGAGGCTTAGATATTATCTCTAGAGAGGAAAGGTCAGGAGGTCCAAACCCCATGACCAACAATATGCTAGGGGAGGAAAAGTCACCCTAGGGGCAAGGTCCCATCCTACAATTGAATTTTGCTAGGCACCCGGGGCTTTCCACCTGGTGAACTTCTCTGTCTGACCCATCATCCTTGCTCTGCTTATGTCTGTTTGTCTACCTTAGTTTGAATGACAGTTGTTCTGTAGTTTAGTTTAATTTTGATATGGTTATGGAAGGATGCAAGTATTGCATTTTACCTATGCCAGCAGCTTGACTGGAAGTCCTGGCCATATCATTTTTGACAAAGATGCAAATCAATTCAATGGAGGAGGGATTGTCTTTTTAACAAATGATGTTGAAACAATTGAATATTCATATATAATAAAAAAAACATTGACGAAAACCTCATATTTAATTAAGAAATTAACTCAAAACTAACTAATTAGATTACAGATCTAAATGTAAAACACAAAACTGTAAAACTTTTAGTAAAAAACATAGGAGAAACCTTTTATGACCCGTGACTAGGTAAAGAGTTCTTAGATTGCCCTAGCTGGCTTGGCTCAGTGGATAGAGCGTTGGTCTGTGGACTGAAGGGTCCCAGGTTTGATTCTGATCAAGGGCACATGCCCGGGTTGCAGACTCAGTCCCCAGTTGGGGAAGTGCAGGAGGCAGCAATCAACGATTCTCTCTCATCATTGATGTTTCTATCTCTCTCCCTCTCTGAAATAAAATAACAATAACAATATATATATATATTTTTTAAAGAGTTCTTGGATTTAACATCAAACGCACAATATGTAAAAACAAAAACAAATCAAAAAATGATAAATTGGACTTCATCAAATTTTAAAGGTGTTGCTTTAAGAACGACATTGTTAGAAGAATGAAAAGAAAAGCACAGGCTGGGATAAAATGTTTGCAAAGCACATATCCAACAAAGAACTTGTATCCAGAATATATAAAGAACTTTCAAAACCTCACAGTGAGAAAACAAACAAGCTGATTGAAAAATTGGCCAAATATTTGAACAAACACTTTACCAAAGAGGGTATACAGAAGGCAGATAAGCACATGAAAATGTGTTAAGCATCATTAAATACACTCAAACTTCAGTTCTCCAGTGTCTCCCACCTTGAACAATTCAATTCTCCATCAAGTTGTTCACGGGGGGAAAAAATGTTTCGGTTGTGGACCAAAACTTCAGTTTTTGACCTGATAACCCTTTCATGCTGATACCTCAGCAAGACAAAAAGAGTCTCTGAGGCAACAAATGAGAGAATGCTTTTGTTGCTGAAGAAGTCAAAGATTAGCACAATTTTAAAACAAAGAGACCATCAAGAATGACAATATTTCTAAGGGTGTGAAAGTGCTCACAAAACAACAACCACAGGCAATTGAATAGGTAGAAAAACTGTTGTTGATTGGATAAATGAAAAGCAGTTAACTGGTGATAGCATTTTGGAGGCATTAATATATGAAAAAATTCATTTAAGGCACCCAGAATATTCAAAAAAAGGGCCAAGGCCTCACAGAAGCTTGCATTGCTTCACAGCTGGGCCTCATCTGGGCATCTCCAAACCCCAAACAAAAAAGAGGAATCTGCAGATCTCTCTGCAGCTCCTGCTGGGTGGCCTCAGGCAGAGGCTAAATTAGCACCTCCTTAAAGACCCAAGAGCCAGTGTACCCAGTGGTCAGAGTGGAACTATCCAGATTACAATTCCTCAGATCCATAAGGGACACCCTCAGGGGGCAGACTCAGTGAGCACCAAGCCCACTGAACCAGGTCTTGCCCCATAATGGTGTCTCCAGCACAGAAGTTCTCCCATAATAGACACAGCTGATTCTCACAGCCAATTCCTCCCAGTGATACCAACAATCAAGGCTTAACTACAACAAGACTGTGCACACAACCCACAAAGGGGTGCACCAAAAGTGTCCACCTCAGGTAACTAGGGAGGCTGAACCACTGGGCCCCATAGAACACCCTAGCACACAAAGCCACTCTATCAACTCAGGGAAGCAGCCAAAATGTGAAGACAAAGAAACAGGTCACAAAAGAAAGAAATAGAGAAAAGCAAACTTCTGGATATAGAGTTCAAAACCACGGTTAAAGATTTTTCAAGAATTTTCTATAAATGGCCAATAAATTTAGTGAGACCCTCAAGGATATGAAAAGGGACCAACTAGAAATTAAGAATACACTGGCTGAAATAAAGAATAATATACAGAGATCCAACAGCATATGAGAGGATCACAAGAATCAAGTCAAAGATTTGAAATACGAAGAAGCAAAAAAATACCCAACCAGAAAAGAAAAAAGAAAAAAGAATCCAAAAATATGAAGATAGTGTAAGGAGCCTCTAGGACAACTTCAAGCATACCAACATCCGAATTATGGGGATGCCAGAAGAATAAAGAGAGCAAAATATTGAAAACCTATTTGAAGAAATAATGACATAAAACTTCCCCTACCTGGTGAAAGAAATAGACTTACAAGTCCAGGAAGTGCACAGAACCCCAAACAAAATGAATCCAAAGAGGACTACACCAAGACACATCATAATTAAAATGCCAAGAGCAAAAGACAAAGAGAAAATATTAAAATTAAAATGCCAAGAGCAAAAGACAAAGAGAAAGCAGCAAGAGAAAAACAGTTAATTACCTACAAGGGAGTACCCATATGACTGTCAGCTGATTTCTCAACAGAAACTATGCAGGCCAGAAGGGAGTGGCAAGAAATATTCAAAGTGATGAATAGCAAGAACCTACAACCAAGATTATTTGACCCAGCAAAGCTATAATTCAGAATTGAAGGTCAGATAAAGAGCTTCACAGATAAGAAAAAGCTAAAAGAGTTCAGCATTGCCAAACCAGTATAATATGAAATGCTGAAAGGTATTCTTTAAGAAGAGGAAGAAGAAAAAGGTTAAAATAAAAATAATGAACAACAAATACATATCTATCAAGTGAATCTAAAAATCAAGTGAATAAAAAATCTGATGAACTGAAAAAACTGGTGAATATAATAGAATCATAGGCATTGAAAGAGAGTGGACTGATAATTCTCAGGGGGAAAGGGGTGTGGAGGGTTCAGGAAGAGATTGGACAAAAATTGTACACCTAAGGATGAAGAGAGTGGAGGGGGGTAAGGGCAAAGGGTGGGATGGGAACTGGGTGGAGGGGAATTATGAGGTGTGGGAGGAACAACTGTAATAATCTGAACAATAAAGATTTATTTTTTTAAATAGAAAAATTCATTTAAGGCTAGTAGTGGTAGTTTGATAAATTTAAGGAAAGAAGTGTTTATAGATTAAACAGTACATTAGACATGTACTCTATATAATAATGGTTAAAACAGGGAATCATTTGGGGGGTCTGGAATGGATTAATTCAAATTACATTATTTCCAATGGGAAAGGTAATTTAGTTTTCAAACAAATCGTTTTTGAACAACCTTTTGGAATGAATCCTCTAGAATAGAGTTTAACTATATTAGGAAAAGACAAGCTACAATTATGATGAGATACCACAGTACATATCTAGTAGAACTGCTTAACTATATTTAGTAAAAACTAAATTAGGAGCTTATTCTTTGTGAACTTTCTCATTGATAATCCACTCCAAGAGTTCTCCCTTGAACGTGGACAAGATTCTGGAAGCATCTCCTGGTATCAAGGCCATAATATCTAAGGAAAGGTCACACATACATACATACATACATACAAATGGTTGTTCTTCATCATTCTTGCCTCAGATTCCCTCACTTTTTGTGAAGGAACTTCTCATTCCATGAGCTTTAGCTCTTCCATGTTTGGCTTCTGTTCCTCCTACTTCTTTAAATCCCACTTCTGTCACCTTGAGTGACAATGGTTACACATTCACACAGGCTGGGTCTGGCAGGCTTGCCCTCATAGACACTTATGGTCTCCTGAGATGCCACACCTGCAGTTCAAATAGATTCCACAAGGGGGGGTGATATTTCTCCAGGTATGGCTCTTTTAGATTACCTTTGGGACTTGTGGGTAGTTGAAAGAGATTGGATATAAGACACACAATTAATCCATCTATGCTTTTAAAAAACAACAGATCACTTAAATAACATAAATGCTTACTAAACACTAATCATTTAAGTTCACCTACTCTTGAAAAGAGAAAACATTTATCCTTCAGTCATCTACAGATATTTGTTAAACACCTGTGTGTAAGGCTCATTTTAAATGTTAGGGATACAAAGTAAATTTATTTGAAGAAAGATATCAAAGAAAGGATACACTTAGACTACCTTTAATTAATAATCATTCTTATTAAATTTTATCAAGTTTTTTTCTGAAGCTTATCCAGCAAATTAACTCTCATATTTCAGGAGGGTCAGAGGTGTTAAGACTCTCATCCATGACAAGTTTCTCATAAAATCCCTCCCACCACTATCTCCTATTTAATCAGCATGCTTACAACAACCATCTCAGCCAGCTCTTACAAAGGGAATTCAGCCCATCACTAAGGTTTCTTCTATTCCATAACATTACTTTTTAATATATATATTATTGATTTTCTTTTTTTAATATTTGCACTCTGGTTTTATTTTATAAAATTTAAATCACTCATACATGGAGAGAGATGGAAGATGGTAAAGAAAATTAATTCAGCCGGGACCGGTTTGGCTCAATGGATAGAGCGTCGGCTTGGGGACTGAAGGGCCCCAGGTTCGATTCCGGTCAAGGGCATGTACCTTGGTTGTGGGCATATCCCCAGTAGGGGGTGTGCAAGAGGCAGCTGATCAATGACTCTCTCTCATTGATGTTTCTAACTCTCTATCTCTCTCCCTTCCTCTCTGTACAAAAATCAATAAAATATATTTAAAAAAAAAAAAAAAAAAAAAAAAAAAAAAAAAAAGAAAATTAATTCAGTTCAGCCGAAACCCGTTTGGCTCAGTGGATAGAGCGTCGGCCTGCAGACTGAAAG